TGTTCTGGAACAGTGTTGTAAATACAACTTAACCACTGATTTCTAGTTGTGTCCTCTTTTGGAAGGCCAAACAGTTTCGTTTTCACAACGAAACACACAGCGTCACACACGGCCGGCTAGAGTGAGCAGCGGCCGGCTAGAGTGAGGAACGGCCGGCGGGCTTGAGAACGGCGGGTTTGCGGCAACCACATGTGACGACCCCGGGCTGGACTCTCATATGACCCCTTTAAATGATACATTGATACATAGGGGAATACACCAACTTATGCACCTTAAAATATCAAGTCACATGTGCACAGCAAAATCTGTACTGCATTTTTACTCACGCATAGTGAAGGGATCCCACAAAGTCACTGCGCTTTTCGTTGTCAAAGCGAACGTCCTGCGGGAGATCAGCCTCTGACTTGGCATCAATGCATTTTGGAATGCCGGGGGCCCATGCAAGCCATCTGATAGGTGAGACACGGAGTTCAACAGGGATTTGTGAGAAGTGCATTCCTTATAAAGAATGCAGTAATAAGTTCAGTGTATGCAAGCTCCATGAAGACCTGTATATTTTCTGCCTCTCCAGAAGCTCTGCCGTTCTGTGAGATATCTCCAGTGGCAAGGTGTCATCACTGATCTTTTTGGCTATGAAAGAAAAAGGAACCAGAGTTGTGTTTTGTATTGTATGTTTCATCTTGATCTTAAATCTTAGTTGTTACTGCAAGTGCAGTTCAATATAACTGACCTGTGCCTTCTCTGAGCTCTATTACCACTTTATCTCCCACTAGCCAACGGTAACAGGGAAAAGTATAGCTGCATCTTTCTCCAGGTACACTGACTTTAACATAACGGCAGAACCAGTTATCCTCCACCCAGTACTTCTGCTTCTCCAGGCGCACCAGTATCAGGGGACCCAAATCAGCAGCACTTTTAACTGTGTAATCATCCACCTATAAAATCATGGGAATATATTTCGATATTAGATATGTTTTAATTCACTATTATTAACCAGTATTGCTCATTTCACATTTTGTACATTTAGATCATTAACTACTCATCAACATGTCGTTCCAAACTCCTAAGACCTTCGTTCACCTTCAGAACACATATTAAGATATTTTTTATGAAATCCGAGAGCTTTTGGGTCAGAAGGCTCTCGGATTTCATCAAAAATATCTTAATTTTTTGTTCCGAAGATGAATGATTTCAAAATCTTTTTAAATATTTTTTTTCTTACTTTAATGGAAATGTGATTATTTTCAATAACTTTATGATCATTTGTCATTGGCATTGTTGTAAAATAGGATGGTAAATGCTTTACTTATACTATTTAAAATAATTTTACATTTAAAAAAAGATCTACTCTACTGCACTCGACGGAAGAAAAAGGAATACATATTATATTTAATAGATTTAACAGTTTTCATAAGCACACAAGCATATTTACTCACCGCTCCTCTGCAGAAGTCTAGGCCTGGATTGTCCAGCACGGTTCTCTCACTCTCTCCTCTCTCTCCAACCAGAGTCACGTATATATAGTTATTGGTTCCCGAATATTCTGAGGTCCCGGTGGCCACTGTCACTTTGTACTCCATCTGCACTCATGCACATACAAATGCTGATCAAACTGTAGTATATTTTCACTGTTTCAGTCATAGTCTCAGAGCAGTCTCAGATGCTTAATTCTTTTTGCAGTCACATGAAATGTCTAACAGATGTTAGTCTGTTTCCTCACAGTATTGTGCAATCAGTTTATGTCTGCACTGGGCGATTACAGAAGCGAGCAATGTATGGTGGAAGTGAAAGTGGAAAACAAGAATGACTGGAAAAGGATTTCTTGCACAAGAATGATCTCCCCAGGGCTATATCACCTGTTTTCACAGAATAATAGATGCGATTAATTTTAAACATGAAACCAAGACACACCTACAAACAAATCAGCATAGGGCTTCGTAAAAAAATGAAAACCCTTAATGTATTATCAAATGTATTAAAAGATTCAAGTGCAGGTAGACACTTAAGCGCAATTCGATCTAGTGAGCTTCCCCTGTTGTAACAATACAAATACAATATAATTCAAGCTAGTGCATTGTGGATGTGGTACTTACAGTAGAAAAATTAAGACAGTACAGTCTAGCAAAGAGAAATTGAAGGGAACATGTTATAATAAGCTTTAATATTAGTTAATGCATAATTTATTGCAAGTATTACATACAACAATAAAACAGTGCATTGACATAAGAAAGGAAATTAATTTTTGGTACTTAAGTACTTTTAAAAGCAAGTACTTCTGTACTTTTACTTGAGTAAAAATCTGTCTTTACAACTTTTACTTGTAATGGAGTAATATTTGACCAGCAGTATCTGTACTTTCACTCAAGTAATGGAGTTGAGTACTTTGTCCGCCTCTGCTGATGTGCCATTGCACTCTGTACAGGTGCATAGAAATAGTTTTGCATATAGCGCACAGACACACATGCATAGCCTAAAAGCTTAGATACAGACAGAAGTGTCATATTTTGACCATCATGCCTTGAAGGACTTAAAATATCCTAAAGACGTGCCTAGACTAGTTATTCCAATTGACAGTGGTTCATAAAGTTTTTACCAGTGTGTTTCACCAAACACTAGATTTAACTTAAATCAACAGTGAACATTAGAAACTCATTGATTACTTAAATATGTTCCAATACAATAAATTGAGAGAAGAATCTAAAGAATAGTTGGACAAAAAGTTACCTCTTCTCTGTGGAAAAGTGCGGTGGTGAAAATCTGATCTTTGTTATGCTCCTCTGCTGTAGTTTCTATTGCCTCTTTTCTCAATTGACTCTAGTTTCCTTCTTTCATGTCAGAAACTGGCTGTTCACTGACCCTCCAGTTTCACTGACTGAATCGGGCAGATATTTGCTTTGAAATGTCCCGTCTCTACTGGTCTCCTCCTCCCTCATACCTCCTTTCCCACCTCTTTAGCCCTTTTCGTCATAGTCCTCTATGGGCTGATATTTCAACCTCCTCATTTGTTTATTCATTTTTTCTTTGCTATCCGCGTCAATGAAGCGGGTAGCTCACAGAAAAACCACAAAGTTAACAATAAGAATATTTTTGTACTCAACTTGAAGCCTATATGAAACTTTCACAGTAACGTGAACTGTACGTCTCACATTTCAACCAGGCTTCTAACAACCCTTCAGTCAAGAGGTCATAGTGTTACAGTTTGTCACTACAAAGAGTTTATATCTAAAGGCGGCCGTTCTGTGAGGAATTACAAGCAATACTTTCCCTTTTTAACAGGGCACTGGCAAATACCAGGGGCCTCATTTATAAAATACTGTGTAGAAAGCATCCTAAATTTGATTTTACGATCATTTTTCAAAGTGCGTACGTGTGATTCATAGAACGAACTTTTAGATGTGAAATCTATAAATTGCAATGATCTTGAAATTGTGCGCAGCTGAACAGTTTCAGATCTCCGCCTTGTAAACGATGTCTAATTAATGTCATTGCCTTATAAAAGAGCACCTGACAATGTCCAAAACTCTTACAAGCGGCAAGAATGGCTTATATGTCCAAAACTCGGGCAAACAAAAGTGCGTACGTCTGCTCAGACCCTGACGTTGCGCCAAGCTCTTTTCCACGTCAAAGACCGTTTTTATACATATGAACGTTGGCGTGGATTTTTACGTACGCACACTCTACGATCAAATCTGTGCGTACGCACGTTTTATAAATGAGGCCCCTGGATTCTGACTAAGAAGTTTCGCTTATTTTTCCAGTGGTCTGTTTCACATTATGTAATCGTCTCAGTTTTGATATTGAATATATATTAATATGGGAATTAAAAGTATAAAATAAAACGTTTCAAAACTTTACGGTCCAGCATGTGCACACTTATAATGGTATTTTAGTGTTGGCAGAAGGCTGAAATATATGCAAAATGTATTTGGTGTTGAGGAAGTACATGTAAGCACGTTCCCGTGTCTGCTAGCTGTCCTCTGGTGTTATTTTAAGGCAGGCTGATGTACACTACTGTTCAAAAGTGTGGGGTCAAACAACAGCAAGAAAGCATAATGTTACAAAAGATTTCCATTTCAAATAAATGCTGTTTTTCTTAACTTTATCAAAGATTCATCCATTCATTCTGAACAAAAATGCATCACGGTTTCCACAAAAATATTATGCGGCAAAATTGTTTTCAACATTGATGATGAGAAATGTTACTTCATCACCAAATCAGCATATTAGAATGATTTCTGAAGGATCATGTGACATGGAATAAACAACTGCTAAATTCAGCTTCATCATAGGAATACATTCATTTTAAATATTATTTTACAATATTACTGTATTTTTCATCAAATAAATGCAAGACTTCAAAATCTTTAAAAAAAAATCTTACCAACCCCAAACTTTTGAACAGTTGTGCAGAAACTTAAAGCTGTGTAGATGAACATTTAACCTCATAAAGTACACACACACAAAGCAAACATATCTTGAAAGTGAAACCACATTCAAGACAGTGATATACAGGTGCATCTCAATAAATTATAATGTCGTGGAAAAGTTCATTTTATATGCTTAGCTAATGCATTTTTGCAAAAGAGATATTACAGAGGAACGCTGTGGTATCGTATCACATCATCATTAAACACGCGATGATCTCTGACTTCTGAAATTGGTGTCCTGTTGATATACGCGGAGAACTGCGCTTTATCTAAACACACTGTCCTTTCAAATGAGAACTTAAAAGGAACAAATTAATATACTGAAACACCAAAAAAACACTCAGGAAGTCAGGGAGAAGCAGGACCAGAGTTCAGGAAATTAATTTCTATAGGATAATGAGTGCAATCCTGTGGCCTTGTTTTGCATGCCATGTCTGCAGAGTTCACCGTTTAGTGGACGTCTCGCGCCAAGCAGCTGTTTTGTAAGATTGTTTTGGAGAACACTTAATATCAGTTACCCATTACAACATGTTGATTTCATTCAAATTGTGGTTAAATCTACTTCACCTAAAACATAGCAAGGATACCGTCTAATTTCTACAGAATCCATGAAAAAAGTTCCATAACAGATCCACTTTATTGCATGATTTTTTTAAACAATGCCAAGAATACGTTATGTGCACAAATGATATTACAAAAAAAGAGGCCACAAAACACATTACTCATCGTCCAACTGATAAAAGCACTTTTGAATACTTGTGACTACAGTATCATCATTATGGAAGCCCGTTTCCGCCACTGAATAAAAAAATAAGAGGTAATTGCGACTTTTTATCTCACAATTCTGACTTTTTTTTTCTCAGAATTGCGATACAAACTCGCAATTCTGACTTTTTTTTCTCAGAATTGCGTGATATAAACTCGCAATTGCGAG